TTTACTGTGGAACATTATTAGAATATTCCAATGCTCTTAATATTATTAAAACAAGCATAACTTCTCCCAAATATAGGTTTCACATCTATGTCCCTCTAGGTCTAATTATGACCAAATAGTGCAACAACACTAGAATCCAGTTGGCTACAGTGCATTTCACAACACTGCTGCCAAGGGTAAAACCAGCCAGCCAGTACCTAGGCTAGTTCGCCTGTGGAGGGAACACTGTGAATATAAGACACGCATTCTTCCCCCAAAGCCAAAAGACAAATGACCCCCCTCTTCCAACTCCCCCCCACCTAAACACTGGTTTAGATGGATTCTGTAACTGACTGCTGCAAGAGCTGAACAATTTTATAGCCAGACCACACAGCTTAAACACAAATCTCACTATAGCATTTCCTGCTCTTTTCCTTTCCACAATCCATTGCTTTAAACACCAAATAAAATATGGGAAGTGCAAGTTAGTGAGAAGATCAATCCTCTCTTCTTCTCTTGCATTTCTTCTCCTTGATTCTGTTCTTATTTCCCAGAATCCTCCTACATTTGCTAAATCCCGATAGCATCTGTAGTTTGAAGACTGAGAGAAACCAGTTTCTGTGATGCCTTTGAACATGTACACAGATGCACTCAGATGCACGTGATGATGATGAGCATGTTGAGAGATGCTATCAGTTGTAAACAGATTTCTCAACACCAAATAGCGCAAGACTCTGAGGGCCAGGGATGACTGTTCATAAGGCAATCCCAGCAGCTTTATCCTCATTCAATAACCAGCTGTAGAAGAAAGTTCTACCGAAGGAGAAAGCAAGACTGCAGGTGTTCACAGCATTGGCAGTGGAGCTGGAAGGGTCGCAAACCAGTGGTGAGAAACTATTGATCTGTTGCAGAATGAAACCGTTATCACTGCTGGAACAGGGTGGGGGGATAGGCAATGGGTATCATCATGCTCACAGCTGTGAGGAATAAGGGCACAATAAGGAACTAGTGCTGTTAACTTCTGATCATTTGTACTCCTAACACTGTCAGGTGTCACTAAATATTACTTTTCAGTCTGCCTTCAGATTTTGTAAAAGTTGGTCCACAAACAGATACAGCAAGGTCATGGCAAATGGTGCTCATTATTTTGCACTATTATTACTGTAAGCATAATGAGATAGATAGTGCCTTGATATTACTGCACAGTCTGGAGTCACTGAGCAAACAGTTTCCATTATGCCTTTAAACACCCACTAGTTATGAGGTGACTACAGGCCAGTAAGCAGGGTTCAGAGTTGCAAGACGCATCAAGCTGCAGGGGCGATTACACTTCTACAGCAGCTACTATGTCTGCCTACAGTAGGAAATGGGGAAAAATATAATGAAGTAGTGACTGGAGTTCCCCAGGATGCAGAGTCTACTTTCTCTATGCTTGAACACGTGCCTTCAATGCAGACCCAGAGTTCTGCAGCTCCTGTACTGCCCTTCCTCATGCCTTGCAGCTTGTGGCACATCATTACCAGAAATCAGTCCCTCTAATTGCAGAGCCCAAGTAGGTGAGTTACTTCAGAAAAAGGAGTAGATGGTGGGTTGCAGGCTTAGCACAGAGAGAGGGAATCTCAAACTCTAACTTGTGCATTGCTTAAGTTTGTCTGCACCCAAGTCCTCTGTGGCAGTTGTCCCAATGCGACAGAGGCAGGTGGAGAGAGCAGCTTGACATTAACAGGATGAAAAAGGTGCCCAGGCTGCAAAGCTGGCCAGTGATACCAGCTGCAATGCTCCATAGCTTTCTGGGTGTGGTTCCCCCACCCACCCCCAGTTGCCCCATGTACCCTGGTTCACACTGTGGCAACCAAGGCATGTGTTGATGTCGCACTGGGGTTTGCAACTTAAGCTAGACCTTCAAGTCACTGGTGCTCTTGGGATGGAGCTTGCTTTAACATGATCCTGTGAAGTGCTCAGCCTTTTGTTTCCATTTTGACTTCTTTGTGTCAGTTTTTAGGGTCAAAATCCAGTTCTGCAAAATCACATTTGAAGTTATAATGGAATTGGTTCAGGGTCAGGAAATTCCTTTTGGAGGAGCCTACTGCTCAAACCACTTTAATAGGCCAGATGTTGATTTTATCCAGAGTTGAGATTGAAAGTCTCGAAAGTAAGAAGTCCGAAGTGGCACTCAAGGGATCCTCTAACCTGCTGGCACAAACTGCCTGCGATTCCCTTGAGACATCGGCTTACAGACTGACAATGCTACCCTTGAAGGTATGGGAGATTTAGGTTTTACAAATAGGCATTTTTCCCATCTATGACATCTTCCTAATGTTTACCTATTACTGTCTGTGACTGCCTTATTCACAGGTATCATAGAGGCTTTGCTGTTTACTGGGAGGATTGCTCTGTGTGAGCAGATCACTCAGGGTCAAAAGAAAGTTCTCTATATCTAACTTCTCTTTCAAATTAACAGGCAATACATTGAAACTGTAGTTAGCTCTGTGGGTAGAGCTCAGAGCTTGAGGCTATGAACAGAAGCAGCTTTGCTCTGAAACATCCAAAAGGAAGCAAGGCATAGCAGGTACACTCTGCCCTCCGGTTCATCACCAAGGCAGAGAGGTGAGACAGTGCACGTATGCCCTGCACGTAATCATCAGCCAAAAATGCGCTGAATTCAAAAGGGCTACTGACACTTGATAATGTGACCTTCCAAATTCTTTCCTTCCTTTAATTATCATAACTTCTTTTCCCCCTTAGCCCTTTATTTAAGGAATTAATTATAAAAAGTTCCTATGATTTCATTTAAGTTTTCCCCTGCCTATTTAACCAGCTTAACCTCCACTCCTCTGGCAGTTCATCACTTTCTCATACTCCCTAGACTGAACATTTCAAGAGGTGAGAGAAAATAAAAGGGCATGACTATCATGAACAAGATGAAACCATTCCCCCCCCCCCCCCCCC